TGATCTCAAATTTGATTCAGCAGATAGGAAAGCAGTACCACAAAGCAGTATGACATACCTAAAGCATATAAACCCAAAAATCAGACACTGTAAAGCACAAAGACTATAAGAGAGATGTGAAAGACAAAACCCATTGGAAGAAGAAAGGTTCAGATCAACTACTAATTAAAAAAAAAAATCAGAGAGAATCTAATTATTAACTTCCAACTAGGTGCCACAGATGCTGTATTTTCCCCAGTTCTATTTTCTTCTGAAGACAATAGATGTCAATATGCTTATTGAAAAAAAAATACATTAGTGAAAATCATGAGATACATTTTTTGTTTATCTGAAATCATGGAATAGTCTTATAAAATTACCTTGGACAGCAGGGTACTGAATGCACGGATGTAGTTGTTTTACCCAACACAAAAAAACGTGTGCCACTGCCTTCACTGATGCCCAGTCTCAGTGCTAGCACAAATGAGGCATGTTTGTTCTTATTTCTCCTTGGCCTTTTCAAAGATATTGAAATCTTCAGTAGAATTGCAAATTCGAAATAAATTGTGTTATTGTTCTTTCACAGGACTCTTCAAAATAAGAGGCAGAAGGAAAAATATACACTTAGTAGGTACTGTGACTGTCTTTCCTTAAATTGTCAAAAACATACCACAGCAAGCTTTCCCTTGGAAGTGTTTTAACTACTGCTTTTCCTTCAGCTGTGTCCACTGTGTAACAGTATCCACAGCGCCATTTTTTTCATTACTTTTTCTAGGGAGATCTTTGATATTTTGAGTACTTTCTTAAACAGTCAAATCATCAGTATAAAAATGCAACTAACTTGACATTACAAACAGAATTTAGCAACCAAAGATCTTCAAAAGTGGAGAAGCCCATCAAAAGCAGTGGCTACGGTTTTGGCTTCCAACAATACTGCTCTTTTACTGACCAGCTTGCCTGAATTATAGAATTATAAACACAAGTAGTCATATTGATGACTCTAAATATGCAGCTCCACACTAAATTAAGGTGTTCAATAAAATATGCAGCTGTGTCTGCAGTTTTTCCAAGGAACATCTTTTGTCCTTGAAAACTAGCACTACTTTGGTGGGGTGGGGAGACTGAAGGGAGATATTGGTGTAGTGGGTAGTAACAGGGGTAAAAATAGGATGCAAGAGAAATTTAAAAGCATCACTGGATATTTTTCGTGCATGACATGAGGAAATTAAAAGAAAATAAAACCAAAAATCGTAGCAACAATCTTCCCTGTTGTCTTAAAACTAATTGGTTTCATAACATCCAAAGCCATACCTCTGTATGGAGCACATGAGAAATGTGTAACAGCAATCTTCTTTTATGCCAGATGGATAAACACCTCAAACACACCCACAGACACTAATGAAAACCACCTTGGCCTCCTTCAGGAAGTCATTCAACACTTCACAGAAAAAATAGGAAGTTGTTGATAAACTGCTTGCAAGAACTACTTCCTGTAGGAAAAATAATTACAAGACTTGTTTGCTGGACAATCAGTTAACTTTTCCTCACACTGCAAGAGAAGAGGTAACACAAGCTCTTTAAGAATTAAAAGCGTAACTCTAATTTAAAATGATACAAGAGTAATTCTAAAACTGAGCAAAATTTGTTTATTCTTTCTGCAAGTTGCTACTCCCTTTGCACATTATCTTTTGCCTCGAGAGCGATCCCCTATCTTTCTGCACAGTTCACTGAAATGTCAAGCAGCAGCTGGCTAACAGGAAGTGGTTAAAAAGCAATGCAATTGACATCACCACACAAACCAGGCTCGGCCTTCTTACTCTATGTTTAAGAATGGGCTAAAGCTACCGCACACCAGTGAGAGATGACTCAGATGTGACCACTTACTAACCAGGCAAGTCTTGGCTTAGGAGCTCCACTGAAGGAGCAGTATCAGTAAAAAATAGTTTTACCAGCTGTACAGTAAGCAGGCCTTAACACACTGCTCAAAATCATCGCTAAGGGAAAATTAAACTCAGCAGTACTACTCATAACAGTGAGACGAATGCTAATGAGTGGAATTCTGACAAATCATATGTTGGGCATTCATACATAAGGGGTCTATTTACCCAGATGACAGACTAATTTATAAGAGTAGATCTGGTTCAAACCCTATAGTACTGCTCTCACCTTCTTTTAATACGTATGGATACATGGGGTGTGTATATAAAATATCTGGCCAAACAACTCTGTGCAACTATCTCTATATATACACACACACAGAGATGATTAAGTATTTTCTCTCCCATATACACTATTTTCATTTCTTTGCACAAATTACTATGTTTGCAGTGCTTGACCCACTGATTAGTGGAAGTGACTGTAATTCCAGAGTGTATTAAGTATGGTACTCGATTTTGTATTATTCTCTTTGCACTGTAGCATACTATGGTAACTATAACCATAAGGCTTACTGACATCTGGAAAAAATCTAATATTATTACCTATTCTGCAATGATCTTTCTAGAGCCTGATTACCAGACTGTTCATGGAGTGGCTATGGAACAGAGCAAGTGGAAACAAAGAGCGATGCAGCCAATCAAGAAAAAAAGCTGAACTTGGAAGAGACACTAAAAATCTGCATATGGTAGAAGGTACCACATTGAAGGTATTTAGAATCAGAAATCTTAGTACTCACACTTCAACAAATGTTTAAGATATAACCAGGCAAGATGTGAGTTTTAGCAGGTTTGTAGGTGGGAGACAGAACTTACCACTTGTCACTGAAACAAACTTGTTACTCAAAACTAGTCTTAAATTTTGTTGTGTTTCCTACAAACATAGAGGAAACACTGTGCTAGCACTTTAAATGCTTTTTACAAATCTTAAACTCCAATGAAGTTAGTGGATCTCACCTGTAGATAGTCCTAAGCAACCTTTTATGAACAAATGTTCTTCAAGTGTGAACAGAACTGTCCTCATGAGACTCTCCCATACCACTGCATCACCCAAGGAAAGCCAAAAGGAAACAGCCCATTACACTGTTTAAATCTCCTAAGGTCAGCATGTGACCCAGCAGGGAGAGGTTCAAAAAGTACAGCCTTTATTTTTTTTCCTAACAACCTGGTTTGTTTCCACTCCTTTCCCCTTCAAGACACATCCTTCACAGCTAGCAACTCTTTCAATCATTTACTTTGGATGTCTGCTTGAGAACAAACGATCTTGCTCATGCAGATGAGTTTGCCAGACTTGTGTGTACTTTCCAGTCTCAGGCTCTTTATTGTTCTTGCTGAAACCTGACCCTTTGAAATGGATACCAGGACACCAAGAAAAGACAAAAAAACTTGCAGAAGAAAAAGGAAAGATTTTTGTGGTAATAATCAAACAACAGAAAAAGCTTTCCAAGAATAAATCTTTCACTCTGATTTCACCTGAATGAGCACAATTTTAAAAATTCATTAGGAGCAGGAAGACATTTTTTATCTCTTAAACTGTTTCATATTCTACAAAATTGACAGGGCTATCAAGAACAAACACTTGTGCAAGTAAAATTTTAAAATCAAATATCTATTTTTCATGCTTCATAAGCTACTCTTTAAGAGCTCACACTAGCGTAGTCAAAACAAAAGTTTGCTTTTCCTTTCAAAACTCATTCTGTTCTTTCCTCAAGGTTCAATGAGCTATGGTTCTCAAACGGCAGAAACTTACACAGTTCAAAAAAACCTTCTACTTGTGCCTGCTGAAGAGCTCATATTCTGGAACACACTGATCTGTTAAACTTCACCAAAGAAAACATCACATCTTCAAGATCTAGAGTTAGTGCTTATTTTCACATTTCTAATAGAAAATTATTGTTCTCAAAATGGAACCTTCAGGCTCAAATAATTTCAGACAATTACTGCAACCTCTTTTTAGTTGAAAAAAGCTAATTTCTCTGTATGGAAATACCACAGCTACGGGAACAAGAAACATTTTTCAGAAGTTCTGCAAGTTCAATTTTCATTGCAGACAATGTAAATTTGTTTTTGAAGCTACAAGCTCAACTACTTCAATCACATGCACATATTAATCACAGTGTTTGAGAGAGAAACGTAGGGATAAATATGTTTTACTTGGCTGAAACAAGTTTTGCATAAGTAACACGGTGTCACCTCTCCCTACCCTGCAAATGACATATAATGGGTTATTTAGTGACTTGCTGTTAAATAAAAACTTCAAATTATAGTAAAAATATTTAAGGGCAAGTTATGGTCTTGGTGGGCACACTTTTAGAAAGAAGGACAAGTCCCTGTTGTTTTAGAAAACTGCATAGAATAGAAGAAAATGCTTCCTGGTGGATTGGATGTCAAATGAATGGTATGTGTAACTTTTCTTCAGTTACAGAAAAGGTCATACTAATTTCACTGTGTGGAAAAGTTCCAGCTCTAGGAACATGAAATAACGTCAGAAATTCTGAAATTTCCTTTTCATTGCCAGGAATGTAGATGAGTTAAGTTACAAACACAACTACTGCAATCAAACACATATGTTAATTACCTCAGAGAGTAGGGAAAAAACATTTTGATGTTTTTGTGTATTTAAACGATTGTTCTTAAACAAAACATAAGAAGTCCTGACATACTATCACTACAACAGTCTCTAAAGTTAACTCTGTATTTTTACCTCTGTATTATTAAAATGAGGTAAAATGTATCTTGACCTGCATGAAAACTCTGACAATACTCAGCAAATCCAAGTATATCATTGTTCAAGAATGACTGTACTCATTTCACTGATTTTTTAATACACATTATAATGGATAACATTCTTTAGCTAAGATTAAGATAGCACAAATATTCACAGAGAACCATACAGTTTTCAGAAACAGCAGAGTTGATACTGAAGTGGTAGAGTCCCCTACTTAAAATCAGGAGCATGTTTTTAAAAATACGTATTTTAAACAAAATGAAATTTACCGAAGTTCTAAGACTGTAAAGCAAAACATATATCCAAAAAAAAAAAAAAAAAACCAGAGATACAGCTAATTGAAAAGAAATTTTACTTACTTAAGAAAGTATCTCTGTCCAGATGGTGTCTTAGCCATCTCCCAACCTGGTGGCAAAGGCACATCATCAGGGATCTCAAAAGAAGACTGGCGGAGGTGTTGAGAAGATGGAGCTCCGGGTCCAGTCACTACTCCAGAGGGTGTAAGTGTCCCTGGAGAAACAGCTCCCAGCTGCAGTGATGCTGGAGAGGAATGAGCTCGGACATGCTGTGGGGTCAGGGCTCCTGCTGTCCCGGCATCAGTGCTGGCCTGCCAGGAGTGAAATAATTTTTATTAATACTCCTGCATTTCAACAGAAATGTCAGAAGACATTTTACTTTCAATGAATGTTTCGGGAGAAATTCATAGCTCAGTTGTTCTAATGTTCTGCTTATTTTCTAGTTGTTACTGTTCAATCAAACCTCCTCTAGTTTGGTTAATTAGCGTCACAAATGCCCTTGTGCAAGTCAAGAAATATTAACTGTATGTGTTGAGAGCCCTTAGTTTTACTTTGAAATCGAAAGTTCTTACTCCTCAGCACAGGGTTAAGAACAAACCCGGCTGCAGTCAGCAGATCTCTTCCAGTACATTGAGTAGTTTGTTACTGGACTGCATCCACTCACTACCATCACTCCCACTTTCTGCTGGAGGAGTTAATTTCCCACTGTCCTTTTCAAGTGGGGGTGTGGGGATTCAAGCACACACACAAACCACCCCCTAGCCCTGTAGGGGTTTAAAAGATCACACAAAGAGAAAAGCAATAGTGAAATGCCAACTGGCAGCAGAGAGTTCCAGTGGAGGAAGACTCACAAATTCAACCATAAAAAAAACTATACAAGAAGACTGAACATAACATTTCCTGATCACTCAAACTTCCTAATAACTTCAACTGTCCATGCTTTATCCAAAGCAAAGCTTCAGCAAATGGTTGAACCAGTCAATCAAAATGACTCACAAACACATTCACTAGAATCACCACTCATAAGTACACTGAACGACCTTGCCAGTAGTAAATACATGTTCAACAGGGAACAGAAAAGGCAGCTCTGAAAACTTGATTAAAGTAAAAACGGCTTTTAAAAATATATTTACCAATTAACTGGTTTTATAAATAGACCAGAACAACATTGACGCCCATAATGAGATGCATGTATCAGTCCCTGTCACACCTCTCTACACAAGGTATTGCACCATTTGAGGCCCCACTCACACGCATTTACAGTTGTACTTCATCTGTATGCAAGCACACATGGAGATCCATGTGTTCAACTGGAAACTAATCAGTTTGCACTTACATTCAGACAAAATAAACAAGTAGTAAATCAAGTGGATTTGCAATATTTTAATTCCTGAGAATCACAGAAATGAAGACCTTTTCTCTAAGCAGAATGTTTATGTGGCACAACTAAACAAAAGGCAAAATGAAAACAGTCCACAATGAAGCAAAAGATTCTCTCTTGCTTTAACTGGATTTCAAGTTTATGTTTTAGGAGCCACTGAGTGGTACAAGGAATTAAACTAAATATGCTTTATAGATGAAGATTAACATACACAAAGAATATAAGGCTAAGCCTAAAAGTACAACCAAAAGTTGTATGACCATCGCACACCTAAAGTGCATTTCAAACACGATAGCTGTTTAACTGTAGTCACCGTATTTAACAAGATACGGCACTTAGACGAATGTCTCTCCATTCAGATTTGTACACAACGGAACTGCGATGAGATTTGCACAAGCTGGGAAAACACTATACATAAATCCCTTATTCCTTGCTGGTATGTTATTAAAGGTCTGCAACTTAGAAGCTAGCAAAACTACAGAAGCAGATCAGCTCCACCCTTTCCAATTTTCTTTTCAGTCTTTCTATATAAAGGCCAGACTGCTTTTTTGAGTATTTGGAAAATGAATTAACTTCTAGGCTTGGAGAGTACGTGCCAAGGTTCAGCCTGGAATGAACTTCTGAAGTGAAATTATAAATCGCTCAAAACAGAAGTTTAATAATGGAAATGTTGACAGACCCTTAACAACACGGGTACCAGGCACCACTACACAGCGAGTCTCACTCGTACTGGCTACAGAGATAATGTGACAATAGACAACAATAAAACTTATTTTATAGCTTAGCAACAAAGTTCATTACTTAATAACACGCGACTAGGTAGGCACAGCCTCGTTCCAAAGAGTTGGTAACAGCATTAGCTTTCGTTCGTATTCACGCCAGCACTTAAGTCTTGGTCCAGAAGTCCCACTGCTTAAGCACCAAACGCTCCCGGAGGCCGAGCGACGACCCTGGCCTGCATCCCCCACCCCGCTCCTCCCCGGCCCTGCCCCCGCATCGCCCCTTCCCCCCGGCCCTGCCCCGCCCCTTCCCAGCCCTGCCCCGCATCCCTCCCCCCTGCCCCGCCCCTTCCCAGCCCTGCCCCGCATCCCTCCCCCGCTCCCTGCGCGGCCCAGCCCCGCATCCCTCCCTCCCTCCCCCGGGCCGCCTCGGCCGAGGCCCCACGGCTCCGAGCCCCGGCCCCAGGCTGCCGCCGCTGCCCTGCATGCGGGCGCTGCGCCCGGCGGACCCTGGACGCCGTCAGACCTGGCGTCTGGCTCGGGAATTAACTTCGGAAGTGCGTGCGTGTGTATGTGGGGGGTTAATCCTACTCAACCCAGCGCCGTGCTGAAATGGTGGAAAAGTCACATCCATATTTACTGTCTGACGGGGCCAGGGGGTGTAGGTTTGGCACCACTTCATCGACCCTTTCCACAGAGGGCAAGGAACTGGACGGCAAAGCGAAAATCCAAGCGAAGCGTTTTCACCCAAGTTCTAGGGGCTCGCCCCGCTGTCGCCCTCCCGGTGAGGCCGAGACAGCCAAGGAGCGGATGTGGAGTTCGAGGCCCCGCTGGAGACCGGGACGGGGCCAGCGCTCGCCCTCCCTCCCTCCCTCCGCGGCCCCGGCCCCGGCCCTGGCCCCGTCGGCGTCCCGGGGCGCGGGAGGCGGCCCTGCCCCAGGGGAAGAACAAATAAAGGGGTGTGGGGGCGGCAGAGAGCGCCCCGACAGCCCCGGCCGGGCGCCCCCCGCCCCGCTCGGCCCCGCGGATTCCCGCCCCGGCCCCCTCCCCCACACGCCTCCCCCGGGAGGAGCTGGGCGGCGGGCGGGGAGGGGGAACACGGCCCGGCCGGGCCGCCCCCCGCCCGCGGCGCGGGCCCCTTCCTTCCCTCCCCCTCACCTGGCGGGAGTGGGCCTTGGGCTCGGGCGGCTTGAAGAAGGAGTCGGGCAGTTTCCGCAGTCGCATGGGCAGCGTGTGTGGCACGTTGGCGCCCTTGGGGTTCATCACGGCGTTGAACAGCGCCTCCAAGTCGGTCTCCGAGTCGCCCCGCACATGGACGATCTGGTGCCCCGCCGGAGGGGGCCCCGCACCCGGGGGCTGCGCCGCGCCGGCCGGGGCCCCCGACACCGCGCCGGGGGGCTGCGGCGGCGGCTGCTGCTGCTGCGAGGCCGGGGGCTGCGCTGCCTGCGGCGGCTGCTGCGTTTGAGGCTGCCCAGGATCCATGGCTCCGTCGGGACCCCCCGGCGCTTCCCTGGCGGGGCTCGGCGGCTCAGAGCCCGGATTTCCACTCCCGCATGCCCCGCTCCCCGGGCCGCGGGCTCGTCCTGATGTCGCCGGTGCTTCTCACTCCTCGGTCGGGAAGCCGACCCGGCCGCGGTAACTGGCAAAACAACTCTGGCCGTGCGGCGCTTCCCCGAGCCCGGCCCAGCCCGGCCGGCGCCTCTGTCCCGGCGGCGGAAACTAACTCACACAACACACCAAACAAAAGTTCGCAGTTACGCCCGCCCGAATCACTCTCCGCCGCCGGCTCCGCCCCTCCTGAGCCCGCCCGCACCGTATCCGACCGAGGGAGCCCGTGCCCACAGCGCTCCTGCGCGCCCGCCCGCACCGCCTCCCGCCCGGGGCGCTGGGGGCGCTGCGCGGTCCCCCCGGATCCCCCGGCCCGGGCCCCCGCTCCGCCCGCGGCCCCGGCCCGGCCGGACCGCACCGCCCCTCGCTTCGCGCCCGCCCGCGCCTCTCTTCCCGCTGCCCGCCCGCCCGCGGCCGCCACGGAGCGCTGCCGCCAACCAGAACTTTTTTCTCTCCCTAACTTCTATCCCAACTTCCAGGAGGCCGCTCCGCGAGGGGGTGGGGAGGGGCGGCCGCGCTTCCCTCCCCCCGGCCCGGAGGGGGCATCGGGCCGGGACCCCTCCCGCCGGTCCCCTCCCGCGCTTTCTCCCGGTTCCGCAGAGCTTTCACCGACTGCAGAGCCTCCCCTGCACTTACGCGTCGCGGGTCTGTAAAGCTGGGTCATAAAAATGACGAGACCTCCAGAGAAATACTTTTTATTAGATAAAACGGGTGAGGGAAGGGGGAAACGGCCAAGAAAACAGCTTCAAGAACTATAAATACCGGAAAACTTTTGTCACTAACAACATAGTAACATCTGAGTGAATGGAAGCACTTCCGAGCGTGTCATCAAGTAGTAGAGCTTTCCTCGTCAGAAAACTATGCAATGTCTACCTGAACCCAATATAAAGAAAGCAACCTCCATTATAAAACTGGAGACCATCCAGGTTTATAACTAGTTTGTAAATAGGCTTCCACCGAAACAGTGATAAAGAATATTCACGTGTCGCTTGCAGGGATCCACAATCAAGTAGGCAAAAGTCTGTAGGTGGCTTTTGCTTGAAGGGTAACACAGGCCATTAGCATTCTGACAGGAAGAAAAAAAACCAAAACATTATTCGGGACAATAGGGATATCTGTAAGAGAATTAATAAAATCTGAAGTTAATAATTTTTTTCCAATTGTAACTGTTCATTGCACAGCAAAATAGAACAAACACACCACAGTTTATTTAAATGATATGTCTCCATGAGGATCCCAGCACTACAAAATGGACAGTAATTCTGGCTGGATGTATCAAATAACCTGAAAGCAAATGTAAGATTAATACAAAATGTAAAATTAAACATGCAAGCATGTGTTTACACAATTAGAGCCTAAAATACAAATGATTAAATATACAACACCCCATCATGTTTCCTTTGAAAGAGAAAAATATCACGTACTCGATATATAAAGCTGTTCCATCCATAATTTTTTTTCACTTAACATTTACTAATGCATCTGTTCAGGTTCCAATATTTGCATTTAAGTGAAATGCTTATTACAGATTACATTAAAACTTTGGACCATTATCGAAGATATTTTGTGTGCCATTCCTTGGAAAGGGTTTGAAGGGATTCTAGAAACCTAGCTGCAAAATCCTGGTTTTGAAAAAAACATCCAGCTGACAATCAGCATGGGAACTGGACTCTTCACGTTAACATCCTACATCTGCACATGTCAATAAAAGCTTCAGTGTTGACAGAGCATCACAGCTGGACACACTTCAAATCCAGTAGGGATCCAGAAACTAGATGGAGGGATTTTTAAAGTGTTTGGGGTTTTTTATTTAGTCAGCGTGGTAATAGAACATGTGAAAGATCAATAAATATGTATAGCTTTCTTTTAAATCATGTAACAGTTTCCTCCTGCTCCCCAACACCTTTGTACAACAGTTGAAGAGATGTAGGTTCTTACATTTTTCTTGCTTGAGGGAAATTGCTATATTGTATATATTGTTCATTTTCTCAAGGAAAATTTTAAAGTCACAGACTACTGACTATTCTGGATTCCACATCTCTCACATTCTTTTGTTGAAGCTGTCTTCCTTTGCATAAAATAATCTGTCTTTTTTTGGAACAAGGAAACATGAAAACTGTAATCTCTCTCAGTGGTTAAGTCAGTCAGCTGAGAAGGAAAAGAGCTGGGTCCTCATTTGTGCTCCAAGGACCATTTGTGAATTTTATCCTTTAGCTGTTACTGACACCCCATTTTCTCCTGCTATTTCAAAGAGAATGAATCCATTATTAGATGTTCTGGTGTCTTCCTTTGGGGGATTATTCAAAACCCTAAATCTTAAATTAAGCTAAGCACCTCATAAAAACAGTTTTAGACAGGTAGAGATTTGATAATGTTTATTCCCAGAATTTTCCAATGGTAGTCAAATGCCACAAGCTAGAAATAGCATTCTATTTTTAAGTGGCACAGCACACAAGCTCTGTAGCTCCAATTGTAGGATACCTAGCTCTCTTCAGGTGTTTTTTTAAGGATACGTGTGTAACAAACAGTGGGTTCTCAGCTGCAGTAAGGAGAGCCAATTTTAAGATTTTATAGTGGTCAGCATCAAAAGGCCTTTGGAATTTGATCCAAAAATAACCCAAGTTCATGCATGTAACTGAAGGAAAAAAAGTAGGATAAGATCAACATCAAGATGTGATTTCTAGTTAAACTCTTTTCCCATTGCTACCAAGGATCCCACTCCTGCAGTCTTTGTGGAATTGATGGATGGCAGTTGAGGTTTTGACTGTTTACAGGCAGTGTGAGCCCACTAAAAATTTGTTCAACAATTCAAGAACAAAAACAATGTAAGTTCTGGAGATGAGGCATTTCAAGCAATATACCAAACCTGGTATCAGGAAAATAATCAATATAACCTAATTAAATGAAAAATATAACCTAATTAAATTTATTTTAATTAGCAAAAGAGGTCATAAAACCCCTAAAATGCTTGAGCATAAAGGCTCTGATATTTACAATCATGCATGTACAAAGTTTAGAATCATACCATTCCATCTGCAATCACTGCAATTCCATCTGCAGTGTGGACTTCGGTTCACAAATGCAGGGGGTGTAATGATTGATTTACTGATGTTAGAGTAGGATAATTTTATTTTTTCTTTGTAGCAACACAGCTGATGATTTAAGAATACATATGCATAGCATAAAACAGAAATAAAAATACTGCTGAACATTCTCAAAACTGCATAATGCAATTGACAATTTTTAAAAATACTTCTTGAATAAACTTTGCATTATTCTGATTTCTAACACTGCCACAGTTTGGGTACAGGTAAAGAAAGTTCTAAAATATCAGTGAGCATTCCAATACTTAAGCTGTAAAAGTGTTTCATTATATGCAAAGCTCCAAAGCTCTCAAGGATATTTGGAGTCCAACAGAGTACTTTGTCACAAGATCTAAAATTATTTCTCTTGTGATACCCAGGTCTATCAGGTTTTGATGCTAAAGAGCTCTAGAGACATTTGTAAGAGAGACCTCAATAAATCAAAGGGCTGGGCAATGACCAACCATATGGAGTTGAACAAGAGAACATGCTGGATTCTGCACCTGGGATGGAGCAGCCCTGGATGTAAGGACAGGCTGGGGAATGAGATGCTGGAGAGCAGTGCTGCACAAAGGGACCTGGGGGTCCTGGTCAATGGCAAGTTGGACATGAGCCAGCAGTGCCCTGGCAGCCAGGAGGGCCAACCCTGTCCTGGGGGCATCAGGCACAACATGGCCAGCTGGGCAAGGGAGGGGATTGTCCTGCTCTGCTCTGAGCTGGGGCAGCCTCACCTCCAGTGCTGGGGGCAGTGCTGGGTGCCACAATATGAGAGGGATATGAAACTATTAGAGAGTGTCCAAAGGAGGGACATGAGGATGATGAGGGCCTTGAGGGGAAGCTGCATGAGGAGTGGCTGAGGTCACTTGCTCTGTTCAGCCTGGAGGAGACTGAGGGGAGACCCCACTGCAGTCTGCAGCTTCCTTGTGAGGGGAAGAGGACGGGGATAGGCACTGACCTCTTCTCTGTGGTGACAGTGACAGGACCTGAGGCAACAGCATGAAGCTGAGACAGAGGAGGTTTAGGTTAGACGGTAGGAAAAGGTTCTTCACCCAGAGGGTGTTTGGGCACTGGAACAGGCTCCCCAGGGCAGTGGTCACTGCACCAGCCTGACAGAGTTCAAGAAGTGCTTGGACAACACTCTCTGGCACATGGTGTGACTCTTGGGGATGGTGCTGTGCAGGACCAGGAGTTGGACTTGAGCATCCTTGTGGGTCTCTTCTAACTCAGCATACTCTCTGATTCCGTGAACTATAACTTAAAACCTTGAGATATTTACATCTCTAATAGTGTGCTTTTTTAGATACCATTTTTAAATTGTGCTCAGCTACAAAAGTCACTTTTACGAGATCAGCTTTTATCTATTTACGTCAGGCTAGGAGGATATGTCCTTTTCTTCCAGATACAAACCTAGAAAACTTGGCTTAAAAACTGTCAGCTCAACATAAGGATTATAATAGCACATTATATTAGTTATAATTAACTCCACAGTTATTTATCATATGAACTCAGAAACTAAATCCACTGCAGAAATGTCGTTACCTCCTTGAGAGAAACTTTTCATCACAAACACAAGACATTTGTGCTCCAGTAAGTATCCTTCCTGTAAGTGCCAGTAGAGTGGAGTAATTTTGATCCCCATAACCATCAAACAGTCTAGACACACTGTTTAAGCGTTTCTGTTTTCTGAGAGTAAATTCTTCAGGGTATTCTTTAATAGAAACCGTCATTTCAGAATTCTCCTTCACCCCAGAAATTTTCAGAATGTGCAGTAATGCCCAATTTTCCTCCAAG